GGCCCCGCTGAGCTCCCAGCTGCAGAGGAAATCTTGTTCTTAGCCCCGAACCATGTGCCGGTGCGACCTGCGTGGTCGGCGTCCAGGCCGTGGCTGTCGCTCCGGTCTGCCGGGTCCTCCAGCTCCTCCTGGGTAAGGGCCCCGGCCTCCCCGCAGTGCCCCTGCCCCCGACTTTGTACCACTAGCAAATGTCGGCTGCCCCCGCCCATGTCATGTGCCACGGTCCTTAATAAACTATTGACTGAGCCTGGTTCCCAGACCGAGCCGCACGGACGCCTGTAGCAACCTCCCTCCAGGCCAGTGAGTCTCCGCTCAGCACCGCCCGCAGCCCTCGCCCCGTGGCCGGCTCCCGACCCACCGCACGCAGCGTGGGTGGGCCCCAGCGCCCCGACGCAGTGGGGAATTCCCCACGGGGCTCCATGGCAGAGGCTTTCCTGAACGCCGGGCGTGTGAGCTCTGTGGCGCGTCCCTTCGCTGACCAGCCGGTGATTGGCCCGGAACCCGGGTGAGTCTGGGCACCCACGTGTGTTACGGCCCTGTGCCCAGTTACCGCCAGGACCTTGATTCCTCTGCCGTGCGCTGCTGGGGGCAGCCCGGCCGCTCGGTACCATCCAGAGCCCGTTTTCCCTGTTCTGCGCCGTGAACCTGTGTCCTGGGAGCTCCCACTCGGCCAGTACCTGGGGCCCAACGCCAGCCTGAGGCGTGTCCACCCGGCTGGGACAGGAGTTGTGGGAGCGCGAATCGAGAGCCAGAGTCATGCCAAGGAGAGCCTGGTGCATGCTGGGAGGCCTCCCAAAAAACCTGAACATGTGACCCAGGCCTGACCGACGCTGCCTGAGTCTGCCGAGAGCCAGAGCCGATCGCTCTGGGAGAGCCCACAGGAAATGGGGCAATCGGCTGGTGGAGCAATACCCAGTGGGAGGGGCCGAGGGTTGTGACAAAGTGGGACTGTTCTCAATGTTTCCCTGAATAGTGTGGGGGTGCCTCAGTTTCCCCTATGCAGTTCTTAAGTATCTAGGTGGTGGGGTAAGGGTGTATGATTACTGCAGAGCCCTAGAGGGCAGGTGTGTGCAGGGGTCTGGACACAGAGAATGGCTGACACCCTGTTTCCTGGCAACTGATGGCCTGAGTCCTTCCCCCTGCAAGGTGAGAGCTAAAGGGTTGGAGAACAAAGGAATCAGGTGACCTCCTGGCCTGGGAAAGGGACAAAGCCCACAGGAGGAGGGGCTGGAGGGAGTTTCAGTTTGGGGCTGGCTGGGACATGGAGTGAAGGGCAGACGTGGTTGTCTGGCTAGCTGCCCCCCAAAATGGACCCAGCTGAGGGGTCCTGTTCTCTGCACCTACAAGCTCTGTTTTAGACCATGTTCCTGTCGTTTAATAAACCTTCTGTTTTACTGGCTGGCTGAGAGTCACGTCTGACTGCGAAGTTGGGGTGCAGGACCCTCTGGCTTCCCCAGGAGCCCCGCCTGAGCGGACTCGCTGTGGGAAGCGCATGGAGGGGCAGAGGATGCTGAACGCTCCGAGGTCAGACCCAGGAAGGTGGAAGCCGGGTGAGCTGTGTGTCCTGCAGACAGGCTGCTCACAGAGAGGAGACTTCCCCAGAGTCCTGACTGGCTTCATGGGGAGCACTTCCAGAGCATCGCCCGGGGGGACTCCGTGACAACTGGTGGCAAAGGTGGGATGTACTGCACCCCGTGGACGGCACTTCCTGCAGTGAGTGACTGGGGAGCAGTAAAACGAAGGGGGATTGACAGGGACCAGGCGTGCTGAAGATTCAGAGAGAGATGGTTTCAGGGGGCGGTTAAACCCTGGGAGACCAGAGAGAAGGACTTCTGCGGTAACAGGGTCCCCCGGGGGATTGCAGCGAGCGGTCCCAGGGGCAGAGGAGTCTGCAGCTCGACTCTGGCAAAGAGGAGGTGACCTCGAGAAGGGCTGGCACACTAGGGGTTCTCCCTGGAAACCGTGGGGAACTGAGAGCACGCAGGCCTGTGAGTCCACAACAACTTGGGAAGAGCGGAGTGATGGCCTGTCACTGTCTCCTTGAGAAGGACATTGTAACCCTGTGCAGAAAGGAAGGGTTGTGCATTGGAAAGTTCACCAAGGCACAGTTAATCGTGCAGCTGGAGGAGGATGACCGCTCTAAGGAACAGATTCCTGACCCCAAATGGGGCTATAGCAGGATCTGGGAGCAGCTGGAGTAGTAGCCAGGCATCCCCAAGACTCCTGTCCCCGACCAGATGAGGGTCTTCACGATCGGGTTCCCCATCGGGGGATCGGAGACGGATGGGATTGGAGCTGAGTCCGAGAGAGCAAGAGGACTGTGAGAGACAGCGAGAGCCTGAGAAAGAGCTGCAGCAGCATGAACTGGCAATGGTGGAGCGGAGAGGCCTAGGGTACCTCCCCGGGGTGAGTGGGGATAGACCCCGGGGGGCCAGTTCCACAGGGAACTTCGAGACTAAATTGCTGCCCCTGGTTAAGGGGGGGGGGATGTGGATGCCCACCTCACTGCCTTTGAGCGGGCTGGCGATTTGAACCAGGGGGACCCTGCTGAAAAGCCCCGGTGTCTAGCTCCCTTCCTGGGTCCTGAGGCCATAGACTCCGTCAGCCAGATGGGTGGGGAGGTGGACAGGCTCCCACTCCTGACCCCAACCTATATGTCTGTGTGGAGTTTCCTGGGGCCAGGCCCCTCGAACCCCCAGTGGGAGCGGAAGGTGACAGCCGATGGGGAGACATTCCTGGGGTGGCGAGATCCTGGGACAGAGAGAATGGTTGTCAGACCCCTGGTGGTGCAGCCTCAGATGCTGAGGGGCTGTGTGAGCTGGGTGAGGGTCCCAGGGACGAAGCCCCTCGCGCTGCCTATGGCCCAGATCCCTGTGCAGACCCAGGAGGGGTGGGGCTGGCTGGTCGGTGGGGTTCTCCGGGATATCGGCTGTGAGACCCTGTTGTGGGGTGACTGTGTCTCTTTGGGACAGGATCCAGGCCCTGCTCCGGTAACTGCCAAGGGTTTGAATATGAATCCAGGGAACCAATCGGCGGAGAGGAAAATGGTCAGTGAAAATGCAGATGACCTGGCTGGCAGCAGGGAGGAGCTTCTAGGCTCAGGATACCTGCCTGCCCGTAACCAGACCCCTGGGGCTGGGTGGGACAGAGAGACGCTCCCCGCCCCCTTGCACACCGGAGGGGGGGGCTCAGGGGGCTCACGCTGGCTCTGATGCAGTGAGGAAAGCAGCGAGCTCGCTGCTTACCCCCACTGGGACAGCAAGGGTAGCGCTGAGCACGGTGGGAGCTGAGACCCCAGCTGAGTGGGGGGAGACACAGGCAGGGCAGGGGATCTGTTGGGAGTGGCAAGGTGCTTGGTAAGGAAAGTCTGGATGAGCCTAGGCAGCCTTGTGAGCTGATGGCTTTGTCTAGTCAGCAGGGTGGGAAGGCGAGGAGAGTGGAAGATGTGTGTCCCTGGACCTTACCTGTTACCTGGGTGGAGATTTGTGACAGTGTGTCTGTCAGGGGTGTTGACTTGCCTGTGGTGGGAGCTATCCCGGTTTTTAAGCAGTTGTCTGTGACCAGCCCTGTGCGCTGGGACAAGGGGAATGAGTCTGTGAGTCTGGGAAAGGAGAAAGTGTGTCCGGCTCTTCTTTGTCTGTGGAGCAGACAGAAGGGGCCTTTCAGCCTGTGATGGTTGAGGGTCGTGCAGTTGTCTCAGAGTTTGTTCTGGATTCAGCTAAAGCCCAGGGAGGGAAGGGCCCTAAGTTTGTGTCTGCTCGGGAGAATGGCCCTGTAACAAGGTCGCATAGACCAGTTAGTGTCTATGTAAAATCTCAGAGTCCAGACAATTCTGGTGCTTGTATTTTGCCTGTTGCTACTGTGTTTCTGGGAAAGGGTGGAGCAACTCTGTCTAATCGGGGTGAGATCCTAGCCAGGGCACAAGGAGAGCATGAAGGTGATGTGATTGTGTTACCTACTGAGGGTGTGGAAACCTGTAGCAAGAAGGAAAAGATTCCTGAACTTGTGTGGCAAAGGGAAGGAGAAGGCTTCTAACCTTTTATCTAGGAAGTCTGTCAGTTTGCCTGAAAGGGTATTGTGTAGGAATCCGCCGGATGGGCCAGAGGTAATTCTGGATGTAAGGGAGACCTAGAAAGAATCTGTTGTTGCTCAGGAAAGTGTTCCTCTAGAGCAAGCCCTTGGTGAAGAGGGTAAGAGCAGAATTTCTGTGCGGGGTGAATTGTTGCATAGAAAAGCCCCTAGGGAAAGGAATCCTCATGGAGTCTTTGCAAGCAGTTTACTGCAAGTGAAGGGTGTGAAAGTGATTTAATCAAGAAAGTTTCAGTTCCTAACAGCCAGAAATTTTCTGTTGTGAATGGATCCACTGACTTTCCTGTTGAAAGATCCAGTGTGGATAGCTTTGAGAAGGTCTCAGATGGAGTGAAAGCTGTTAAGAAAGTTAAGCGGTCCTATAACCAAGTGGCTGTGTTTGGCCAGCTTGTTGGGGAGAAGACCCAATCCCAGTTTGACCCCCTGGAGTTTTGGGGGTGGCCAAAGGGCATGGGCTGCATAAGCCTTCCCACATGCGGCCTGCGAGTGCTATCGACCACCCCCGACCTAAGGGAGGGCGTGAAACTGGAAGGGCCTGGTGTAACTCCTGCCAAGGAATGGGAGAGATGCTGGGGCATCCATGGTGGCTTCGAACTTCCCCAGGTCACTGGCTAAAGTGACCCCGCTCAGTTCGGTCTCGAAGGGGGCAGAGATGTGACGAAGTGGGACTGTTCTCAATGTTTCCTCTGAATAGTGTGGGGGTGCCTCAGTTTCCCCTATGCAGTTCTTAAGTATCTAGGTGGTGGGGTAAGGGTGTATGATTACTGCAGAGCCCTAGGGGGCAGGTGTGTGCAGGGGTCTGGACACAGAGAATGGCTGACACCCTGTTTCCTGGCAACTGATGGCCTGGGCCCTTCCCCCCTGCAAGGTGAGAGCTAAAGGGTTCGCAAAAAGAAAAGGAGTACTTGTGGCACCTTAGAGACTAACCAATTTATTTGAGCATAAGCTTTCGTGAGCTACAGCTCACTTCATCGGATGCGGATACAGACTAACACGGCTGCTACTCTGAAACCTACTTTATTTGTATTGCAGTAGCACATAGAGGCTCTAATTGAGATCAACGTCCCATTGTGCTAGGTGCTGTACAAGCTTCTAGTAAGACAGGAGCCCCAAAGAGCCTACAGTCTAAATAGGCAAGAGAGAGTGGGAAGGGAAATGGAGTACTTGTGGCACCTTAGAGACTAACCAGTTTATTTGAGCATAAGCTTTCGTGAGCTACAGATCACTTCATCGGATGCATACCAGTATGTGACTGTGACTCCACAGCCAGCGCCCCACTCGGCCCCAGCATGGCCAGGCCTTACAGAAACAACCAGGCTGAGTTTATTGACCGGAGCCTAGAGCTGGAGAAGGAGCCGCTGGAGGCTCCTGTTATTTACTCCTCGTAACTAGGGATCGAGAAATGACAGTAACGGGCAGCAGGTTTAGAACAAACACAAGGAAGTCTTTCTTCTCACAACGCACCGTCAACCTGTGGAACTCCCTGCCAGAGGATGTTGTGAAGGCCAAGACTATAACAGGGTTCAAAAAAGAACTCGATAAGTTCCTGGAGGATTGGTCCATCAATAGCTATTCGCTAAGATGGGCAGGGATGGTGTCCCTAGCCTCTGTTTGCCAGGAGCTGGAAATGGGCGACAGGGGATGATCACTGGGCGATTCCCTGTTCTGTTCATTCCCTCTGGGGCACCCGGCACTGGCCACTGTTGGCAGACAGGACACTGGGCTGGATGGACCTTGGGTCTGACCCACTCTGGCTGCTCTTATGTTCTCATGGAGTTAATGGGACAATGGGTAACATGGAGAACAAACTGGGGACGCATTTCCCAGCGTCCCAATGTCCCGAACCCGCCCCTGGCAGCTCCTGCGGGTTCAGCTCCCCCCAGCATCCGGCTCCCAGCCGCCCAGGCTCCAATGCTCTCTGCAGGAGACAAACCCGCTGGCAGCTCCTCCCCTCGGGGCAGGACCCTGGGTGCAACCCGCACCCCGCAATAACTCCCACCAAGCCAGCGTCTGTCCTCAGAAACACCTGCCCCCTGCACTGGGCCCTTTTCCCTGCCGGCTGCTTCCCTGGGGCTGGGGCAGACGCTGCTGGGGCCTGGCTCCGGGTGGAACCAGCCGCCTAGCAAGCTCGGCACCACCCAGCTCCCCCGGAGCCGGGCACAGAGAGAACAGCCTGGTGCCTCCTGTCTGCCAGGGACGGGCCTGGCGCCTCCCACTGCCCGGCTGGAACCAGCCCCTGAGATCCAGGCCAGACACACAGCCCCAGATGTGACCCCAGGCACTCGGCTCGCCATGGTCACCGTGCCCAGCGATGCCAGCTCTGGGCAGGGACCCCAAAAGCCCCTTTGGGGGCTGGTCTGTAGACGTCAGAGCTGGGGGTCCCATGAGCCCTTCGGCGCCCTGTGCCCTCCGCCAGGGGTCCCGGGTCCCAGCCAGGCGGGTCAGCATCGCTGTTCACAGCTCTGCACGGGAGAACTGCCCCAGGGAGGAGAAGACACAGGGCCGGGCACTGGAGGCAGGGTGGGGGGGAAGCCCTGGGCGGGGACCCCTGGCCCTGGTTTGGGCACCAGTGGGGCACTGGGGAGACCCGGGTCTGAGTCCCTGCAGCCCCACAGACTCCCCGTGGGACCCAGGCTGGTCACTGAGCTGCCCGGGCCTCTCTGTGCAGTGGGGAGCTCCCGCGGCCTGGGGTGGGACATAGCTCAGCACGCCAGGCTCAGGTCAGGCGGGCAGAAAACAGGGCACATGCCCCAGGCTGGGGGGTGTTTGGTCCTGAGACGTCACCAAGCCGGTGGCAGAGGTGGGCTCCCAAATACTGTGCTGGGCACAATGGCACCAGAGCCACTCACAGGCACCGAGTTTCTGATTTCTTTGGAGGGGCCCAGACGCTGCGGTGATGGGCGCCAGGGAAGCAGCCTGGACGGACGGACCCCCCGGGCCGGGCGGTGGCTGTTCCTGCCCTTTAACGCTTCATTGGCGGGACGTCCCCGGGCGGCGGGACCCAGGCTCGGGGACGCGCCTTTCCCAGCATGCACCGGGCCCCTCCCAGCATGCACCAGGGGGCAGGAGGGGGCATCACTTCTTCAGCTCCTTGTACACGTCCTGCTGTTGGGGCTGCAGCGTCTGGGGGAAACGGGGACGATTCAGCCAGAGACGCCCCAGGGGAGGGCCCAGTCCCCTCCCCCCCCCCGTGGGGCCCCAACAGCCCCTCCTACACCAGGGGCCCATCCTCCCCCTCCCAGTGCTGGGTCCCCCATAGCGCCTCCCCTCAGCCCTGAGGCTCCCGGCTGGTCCCCTTCTGGCTCACTCTGCTCCCCCCTGCTCTGGGATGTGTTAACCAGCCCTGTTCTCAGCCATAGGGCTTCTGGGGGGCACCTCCCCCCTCCCCCCACTGGGTCCGAACCCTCCTCAGGGGGAGGATACAGCGCAAGGGGCCGGTGCGCACCTGGTATGTGGGGCTGGGGTCAGGGGGGCTCCCGGGCTGGGCTGGGGGAGACAGAGGCAAGAGGGGCTTTAGCACCGGACCATAGAGACCCCCCCACCCCTCCAGCCAAGCTCGGGGTGGGGGGAGGGACCCTGGGAGAGTCAGTGGGATCCAGGGTTTGTGTAACTCTCCCCCACCCCCGCCCAAAGGGGACCGGGTAAACTGGCTGGGGGCTGTGGGTCGGGACTCAGGAGGGGGCGGGACTGGAATAAGGGGCGGGACTGGAGCCTTGTCACTCACCACTGGCCCTGGCCTGGCTGTCAGGGGCAGGTTTTCGTACACCAGGACGGGTGCCCCGTTCTCCTTGGGGGTCTCGTTCCGGCAGCGAGAGTCTGGGAGGAATCATCAGAGATGCTGGAATTGGGGTCCTGGCTCCCAGCCCCCCCTCCTCTAACCACGAGACCCCACTCCCCTCCCAGAGCCAGGGAGAGAACCCAGGAGTCCTGGCTTCCTCCCCCCAACCACCAGTCTAACCACTAGACCCAAGTCCCCTCCCAGAGCTGGGAGAGAACCCAGGAGTCCTGGCTCTCCCAGGGCGGCCGGGTGTTACTCACAGAGGAAATAGGCCCCAACTCCGACCAGCGCTGCCCCCGCCAGTGACCCAATGACGATCCCAGCAACGGCCCTGGCAGAGAGACCTGGACGAGGGGTGTCTGGAGGAGAGATGTGGGGAGGGTTGGATCACACGGTCAGTAACAATCCCCCCACGCCGCTCCCTGCAGCCTGGGCCCCTAGTGCCGCACTGGGGCATTGGTGCCAGCACTGGGATCCCTGTGTCTGCGGCACGTTCTTCCATCTGGGAACAGAGAGAGCGTCACTGGGGGGAGCAGTTGGATCCACCCCGACCCCAGGGGAGCCCTCGCTCTACGGGGCTCCTGCCCCACAGCCCTGTGGAGGATTCAGACCCAGCTCCCTGGTGGCAGTAGAGAGACTTTATTGTAGGGCTACACAGCAACATGGGAAAGAGTGGGGCTCTGAGATCCAGGACTCCTGGGTTCTCTCCCCAGCTCTGGGAGGGGAGTGGGGGCTGGTGGGTTAGAGCAGGGGGGGCTGGGAGCCAGGACTCCTGGGTTCGATCCGGGCAGGGCAGGGGAGTGGGGTCTGCGTGGGGAGGTCTGTGGAGCCGGCACAATGGGGTTAATACAGATTGTACCAACTGCGACAGCAGCAGCTGTTGGGGGGGGTCACTCCCCATCCATATTCAGTCCTGGCTCCCAGCTCAGGGAGCGGGCGTCTGGGGGCCCAGAGCCCCACATCTCTGTGTATTGGGGGGGTCATCATCTCTTGGGGGCGAGGGGGTGGGATGCCACATACAGGGCAGGGTCTGTGTTTGGGGACAGGTCCCCCCCATGACCCAGCCAGGCTCATCCCCGGGGGAGAGGCCCAGAGCCCATCGCTGGGGCAGGGATGGGGAAGGGGCAGGGCCCGGGGGTGGCACTTACCAGAGACGGGCAGATGCACCGTGGCGAGGACAGGGCTAGTCGGGCTCTGAATCAGCACCGTGTAGCTCCCGGTGTCCTTGAGCGTTAACCCTGCGATGTGCAGGGCGCAGCCCGGCCCCGCTGTCTCCCGCCCCGTGTGGGCCCAGTCCTTGGTCTGGACGGGGGGGTGTTTGTGGGTAGTAGGTGAGGATCTGGCTGTTTCCATCCGTGGAGGTCGCTGATCGGAACCAGCTGCAGAGCACGAAGTCCTGTGGCGGATTCTGCGGGGCCAGGCGGACGCCCCCTCCCACCGCGGGGCTTGGTGGGGTGAGGACGATGGTCACCGGGGTCTGGGCCTGCACCGGCTGGAGGCAGGAGCCCAGGATGGAGGCTGCAGGGGGGAGACCAGAGAGACAGATACCAACTGGTGCCCCTCACTCCCGACCTGCAGCCCCTCCGTTTGCATTTGCACTGTCCCCTATTACAGTCCTTGGTGTCCGGGACACCTGGGTCCCCACACCCCGGCTCCACCCTCTCAGCTGCAAGGGACCCCTCTCCAGGTGCCGCCCCGCCGCCTTTTGCTGCAGCCAGACCTGCCTCGACCCAGGGGAGGCGTCTCTGGGCCGGGACCCTGAAGTCCGGACCCACAGGCAGGGCAGTCCCACGGGGCCCCTCCGGCCTCAGATTTCCCCTCCCAGCCTCCTCCGCTCACTTCCCCTTTGCTTTGGAGGAAGGAACCCGGGGGCGGGGGGGGGAAGGGTCTTCTCCCTTATCCCCCCGCCCCCCACGGGCTGCCTGGTCCCTGGGTCTCTGTCTGGCTCTGGTTCCGCCTGCTAGATCTGGGGGGAGGGAGTTCAGTGGGGGGGGGAGGGCTGGGTGTGTCCCCCCCAGTTCTCTAGCACAGAGAGACACAAGCAAATAGCTGATCCCCGCTGCGGGACACAACGGGGCTTCTGTGCGTGTCCCCGCGGCTTTGGGGCACAGCCTCGGGGGAGGGTGGGGTTGGACCCAGCCTGGGAAAGGAAGCGTCAGAGCCCCCCTCCGGCTACTCCAGCCCTGGGGTGCCCCTAGCCCAGCTCTGCTGGTGCCCCTGAGTCCCGACCCACAGCCCCCCCGCTTTCATTGACACTGGCTCTTATTGCAGCCCTTTTTGCCCCGGACACCTGGGTCCCATGTTCTCCCTCTCTGACCTGCCAGGAGAATCCCTGTCCAAGGGCCGCCTGGTCTGTGGGGGATTCGCCCCATCGCCCTTCGCTGCTGCGGGACCCGCCGGGACCTGCCGGGACAGCAGAGATGCCTGGTTCCCAGCTGGGGGCAAAGAGAAGAGACGGGGGAAGTGGGAGGGAGCGGAGCTGACACAAAGCATCTCCCTTGCCCCTCCCAGCCTTGCCTGTCTCCACAAAGCATCACCCGCCCCTCCCTCTGCCCCCACCCAGACACGGGGGCGAGGGGGTGCAGCAATCCGGGCCCCCGCTGCTCCTTCGACAGGGGCCTGGCCCTGGGAGATGTGTGTGTGTGGGGGGGGGTGGTGTCACACAGCACAGAAATCGGCCCCTGGGGGGCTGGTGCATGAAAGGGGGCAGGGCCCCCCAACCTCCAGGAATCCTACTCCCCCTGTTCCCCCCAGATATTGCCTCCCAGTGGAGGTTGTGTGGAGGGGGGGGCTCATCCCTGGAAGTCACCCGTGGGAAGTGGGAGACAAACCCCCCGTTAGGGAGTGGGGGGCACAGGGAGACCCCTGCGGGGGGGGGGGGCAGAGCCCAGACTGACGGGAAGCCAAAGCCCCCCCCACCGCCCCGGCAGGATGGGCCGGGGCCGGGGGGGAACAGGACAGAGTGTGAGGCCACTGGGCACAGACAGACACAGAGCTGGGCTGAGCAGCCTGATCCCGCCCCGCCTGTGGGCCCACGTGTGTCCACCCACACCCACCCACAGACACACCCATAGACACCCCCACGATACACACCATACACCCCCACCCACACATCCATACACACACACACACACCACCCACCCATACACCCCTGCACAGACAACATACACACACCCATAGACACCCCCACGATACACACCATACACCCCCACCCACACACCCATACACACACACACACCCCCCACCCACCCATACACCCCCGCACAGACACCCCATACACACACCCATAGACACCTCCACGATACACACCCACACCCCTGCACACACCCACACCTACGCCCACAAACACTCCCCACACCCACACCATACACACCCACACGCCACCCACCGAGCGTTCGATTTGGCCTGGCCTGGGTGTGGGTTGCCAACTTTTTAATTGCACAAAACCACACCCTTTCCCCGGCCCCACCCCACTCACTCCATCCCCCCTCCCTCCGTCGCTCGCTCTGCCCCACTGTCACCGGGCTGGGCAGGGCTTGGGGTGTGGGAGGGGGTTTGGGTTGTGGTCTCCGGGCAGACCTGACCTCAGCCGGCGCCTGGGAAGAGCCCGGCGTGTTCCTGCAGCCCCCTAGGCGTCAGCGCGGCCAGGACAGGACCGGCTCTCGGCACCAGCAAACAAGCACGTGTTTGGGGCGGCACAATTCCAGGGGGCGGCTCCGAGCTCTGCCCCCACCCGCAAGCCCCGCCACCTTGGAGTTTGGAGCCAGCGCTCGGAGAGGGGGCAGTTCGCGGAGCCCCTATGGCCGCCCCTGTACCTAGGAGCCGCACGGAGCCAAGGCAGGCAGGGAACCTGCCTTAGCCCCGCAGCGCCGCCGACCGGGCTTTTACTGTCTGGTCGAAAGCCGGACACCTGGGAACCCTACCTGGGGGTACCCTGCCCGGGACCAGGTTATAACACAACGGGTTCAGAGGGCACGGCCCAGCTGCGGGGCCATAATCATAGGGTCCACGGAGGCCACATGTGGGGCCTTTGCTCTCTCTCTGCTCCCACTGCACCCCTGGGGTGCCAGGCTGGGAGGCCCCCCGTGACCTCCTGCCCCGCTGTGAGGAGCCTTGTCTGGCCTTGCTGGGCGTCAGACCCCCGACTCCCCCTCCATGGACAGCACAACCCCCCCTCCCCGCTCAGCCCTCGACAGGTCAGCGATCGGCGCCCCCCAATCGCCCAGGATCCCCCTGGGGTGCCCACCCCCTGGCGCTGCCCACTGGCCGAGTTCCCAGCTCCGCTGCCCCCATGGACTAGGACCCCCCCAGCTGAGCAGTGACCCCCCAGCCAGCGCCCCACTCGGCCCCAGCACGGCCAGGTCTTACAGAGACAACCAGGCTGAGTTTATTGACCGGAGCCCAGAGCTGGAGAAGGAGCCGCTGGAGGCTCCTGTTATTTACTCCTCGAAACACAAGGACTAGGGGTCGGGAAATGACAGGAATGGGCGGCAGGCTTAGAACAAACACCAGGAAGTGTGTGTGAGGTGCGGGGGGAAGCCCTGGGCGGGGACCCCTGGCCCTGGTTTGGACACCAGTCGGGCACTGGGGAGACCCAGGTCTGAGTCCCTGCAGCCCCACAGACTCCCCGTGGGACCCAGGCTGGTCACTGAGCCGCCCGGGCCCCTCTGTGCAGTGGGGAGAACGGCCCAGCCCCCCACAGGGGTGGGGACGAGGCCTCGGAGGGGCCCAGACGCTGCGGTGATGGGCGCCAGGGAAGCAGCCTGGACGGACGGACCCCCCGGGCCGGGCGGTGGCTGTTCCTGCCCTTTAACGCTTCATTGGCGGGACGTCCCCGGGCGGCGGGACCCAGGCTCAGGGACGCGCCTTTCCCAGCATGCACCGGGCCCCTCCCAGCATGCACCTCAACCGTGACATAAAGCTCACCCTGTTCTAATACAGCTGGAAATGGTGTAAGATCGCCCATGAAAGTTCTGCGGAGGTTTCAGGAGTTGAAAAAATGGGCTCTGGGTTTGCAGATAGATCGTGTGATGTAGCACCCTCTGCTGGGCCCCGCAAGTCTCTCAGGGCTTGTCTTCACTGCCGCGCTAAATTGGCACTGCTGCATCAATGCAGCGGCACCAGCGTCGGGCGCCTGGGAGAGGTGGACGTAATTACTCCCCCTCAACGAGAGGCGGGAGCTATGTCGGCTGGACGGCGTCTCCCGTGGTGCAGACACCACTTTAAGGGGGGGTTTCAGACCCCTGAGCAGCGTAACTCGTATCAACTCCAGCGGTAACGTAGACAAGCCCTAAGAGGAAGTAGGACCTGGAGACAGATGTGGCGGCTGGGGTTTTGCAGACATGGAGTTCCAGTTTCATCCATGATGATGTTGATGTAGCTATGAATTTAAAGTATTTCACTAGGACCTCTGGCTTCCATACTGCGCTTGGGAAGAGATCAAGCTGCCTCTCCTGGAGTTCGCCCCCAAAGGACGAGTCTTTGCATCAAGACAGGGCAGCATCCATGCTGCGGGAACGTGTGCCGACACAGTGGCACCAACTCTCATGGTTTTTATCACAGGTCTCACGATATTTGGTGCTTTTAAGCCCCAGCTTCTGGAGTCACGGGATCCCACGAGACTCCCAGCTTTCATTTAACAAACCAAAAAGAACCAGTTTCCAGCACTTTGGGGTTGCAGAGAAAAGCTTGACGGCATGGCCCCTTAATGATTCAAAAACAGGAAAGCAAGTTTTAAAAGAGCCCAAAACATGTGGTATTGTTAAAAAAAAATAATCAAGGCAACCATTATGTGGGGGTGGGGGCCTACTCATGATTTTTAAATGCTTGGAGTTGGCAATCCTGGGAACGTGAGCGTGCAAGGCACAAAATAAGCAGCAGAGGGCTGAGTCGGCCATTGCTTAGCAGGAAATGCAGGTTACAGTAAAACCAGCAAACAGCGACAACAGACCTCTGGGCAACCAGCGTCTGAGCTCGGTTCGGAGCCGGTGTATTGGGCATCTATTTCTACTTCAGCCAAAACTTCTCTCCCTCCCCACCCACATCTCACACGAAGTGCAAAAATAAACACAGCTGTTCCACACCCAAACAGAAAGAGGAACGGAGCATAAAACAGACGCCAGGTTCAGCTTACCAGGCCTAATGATCTCTTCCTCCTGCCAGCTGGGCTCATGCAGCCTATGAGGTATGCCCCCTATTCTTCCTAGAATATTGGGGGAGGGATAGCTTAGTGGTCTGAGCATTGGCCTGCTAAAGCCGGGGTTGTGAGCTCAATCCTTGAGGGGACCATTTAGGGATCTGGGACAAAAATTGGGGGATTGGTCCTGCTTTGAGCAGGGGGTTGGACTAGATGACCTCCTGAGGTCCCTTCCAACCCTGATAGTCCATGAAATATTATTATAATATTATAGCATAACTACAATATAGGTTGTACAAGATAAGGCATGTGAGATACCACTGGAAAGGTTATGATTTGCTGAATATGATTATCCCATTTGCAGGCCTGTATCATTTCTGCATCTGAAGTTATCCTTGAGGGGGCCATTTAGGGATCTGGGGCAAAAATTGGGGATTGGTCCAGCTTTGAGCACGGGGGTTGGACTAGATGACCTCCTGAGGTCCCTTCCAACCCTGATAGTCTATGATCAATTACAAGTGGGTTTACACCCGGGGAACGCCCACCAGACAGAATGCAATCACTCTAGATGGGCCATTAGGAAAGACAATAGGTCTTTGAAGATGCAGATCTCCCACCTTCCTGGAAAGCCTTCCTGTGGATACTGCAAATAGACTTTGGGTTATGGCTGCAGGGTCATGTGATCACGGCATCCATAGTAGAATACCAGTATTTTTCCACTGAATGTGTGTGTATATGGCGGGCGGGGGGAGGGGTGGAACCACTCTGGAAAACAAAGGATTCCAACCCTATATAAAGCCTACTTAATGCAGGCGAGTGACTTAATCAGTGTTCATTCGTCACTGAATCCCAGCCCAGGATAACTGCTGAAAACATCTAAGAAACAAAGACAAAGTGGGGGAAAGGACTGAAACCAGGTGAGAGGGTGTCTGGCCTGTGAAAGAGATACCTGGAGTTCCAAGCTGCAAGCAAGAGCAGCTTGCCTTCAAGAACCTCTGCAATCTGCCTAACACAACATTTAGGGTGAGAAATTGCTAGTTATAGTTGATAGTTTCTGCAGAAAAGGACCTAGGGGTTACAGTGGACGAGAAGCTGGATATGAGTCAACAGTGTGCCCTTGTTGCCAAGAAGGCCAATGGCATTTTGGGATGTATAGGTAGGGGCATTGCCAGCAGATCGAGGGACATGATCGTTCCCCTCTATTCGACACTGGTGAGGCCTCCTCTGGAGTACTGTGTCCAGTTTTGGGCCCCACACTACAAGAAGGATGTGGAAAAATTGGAAAGAGTCCAGCGGAGGGCAACACAAATGATTAGGGGACTGGAACACATGACTTATGAGGAGAGGCTGAGGGAACTGGGATTGTTTAGTCTGCAGAAGAGAAGGAT